TATATATAATATATAAAAAAAATAAATCATTAAATTTATTTTTATACAATATTTTCAATTTAGTTTTCTGTAATAATTACTGACACTAATTAAATTATATTAAAATTAACAATTTAAAAAAAAAAGTAACATTAAATTATAAAAACGAGCCCTTATATATTTTATACTTTTTCATCCTGACCGATCATCTTGTATAGCTGAATGGTTAGAGCGCTCACCTGGAAAGACTGTTGTCGCAGGTTCAAGTCCCACTGGGTACATCAAGGCCACCCCTTGAGTTAACCCACGTATTAAAGATTCTTCGCATTTTTGCAAGGAACGAGCATCCCGCAGGATGTTTACTAGAGAAGAAAATTTGAAGGAAATTCTAATCTCAAAGACTGAAGAGGAAGAAAAAATAACCAACAATATAATTGTTGGTAATAACGAAGAGAAAGAATTGAAGTAATTGGAACCGATGGCTGTGATTTTAATAAAAAAGATAGCACAAAAAGATGCTATCTTTTTTTTGAATTTGTTTTTTATAATCTAAGAAATAATTTGTTTTTCTATTTATCCAATGGCTATTAATTTATTACAAATTATTTTGTACATTATCGTATATGTATTTCTTCATGATTTAATGCGAAGAAGTAATGGATTTAGTTCCGAATGGAAAAGTTCGTGCCGATTTTTATAAATTATTTTAAGTAAATTCTTTTAATTAATTGAGACAACACAAGATGGCAAATTTAATAAATTTAAGCGAATGCATTGTATTTAAAACATTTTAATGCTTGAATAGATTTATTATTCTTATTGCTGAATAATATTTATTTAGACATAAATATCTAATCATCTTTACAAAGTTAGAACATATAATTGTGATAATGTGTTAATAATTGTAAGATAAAAATAAAAAGTAGAATGAATAGTTTTTTAAAATGGAAAATTTTTGGAATTAAGGATTTTTCGTATTTTCTTTTTTTTTCTGGGAAGACAAAAAAGTCAATTATCAAGAAGGAAGAAAATCTAAACAAAAATATGGTGCGGAAGTTCTTTTATTTTGATAAGAAAAGGCGCATCGTGGAGTAAGAAAAAAAAATAATAATAATAGATGCTCTAGGAGTATTATTCTCGCGAGTCATTGAGCGAGATGCGATAATAATGGAGCTAATAAGCCGTTTAAGGGGGTCGTTATAAGTTTCGCTCGAGAGGATAGCGTTTAATTGCCTAAGGTTAAAACTCGTAGTCGCGTTTCCATGATCTCAAGCGCGTCCTTCCGCCGAAACGAAGCAGTCGGGAGTAGAAAGTTGGTAGAAGTCTTGAGTCGAGACGAATTTTCTTCGAAACTCGCATCAACGTTAAAGGCCAGGCGGAAAATTGTTGAAATCGTAGAAAGCAAGGCGAGGATAGACTCGAGACATTTTTTTCTTTACCAAAGCCCATGAGCCACTAGACCATGAGGTACGACACCAGGAGCGACGATTGCTCCAGCTGGTCCAGCAACTACAGCGGAACCTATCAAATATCGGATGTTATTAATTAAATTCATTTTAAACAATAATTCAAGTATTGTGTCTTTTCATTTTCCCTTTGTTTACGGGTTTAATTCGAAATTATAGTTAAGTAGTATTCTATTAACGAGAATTAACACAATAATTTGAACTTGCCATGAGCGGGTCCGACAACAGCAGCACCACTAGCGACTGGTCCTACGACAGCAGCAGAGCCTGCGGAAGGTCCCACGACTGCTGCAGAACCTGCGGAAGGTCCAACGACAGCTGCGGATCCAGCCGAAGGGCCAACCACGGCTGCAGAACCAGCTACAGGACCTACCACGGCTGCATGACCAGCTACAGGACCTACCACGGCTGCAGAACCGGCTGCAGGACCTACCACGGCTACCGATGGTGCAACTGGTGCAACAACGGCAGCTGCAGGGCCCACTGCAACACCATGCCCCAAGCCGAGAAGGCCTAAGTGTCCCAAACCAAGGGAACGACGTTCGCGTTCCGGCAAAGCCGTCGCGACAGCGATTACAGCGGCGATGAGAATCTATCGATAAAAAAAACGATCAAGATTCTTACATTCGTCTCAATTCTTTAATCAATTATTTAATCAATAAATTTAGCCACTTACCAAACACTTCATGATTGTTCTTGTCGATGAGTCTTGGTAGGCTTCACTGATATTCAACCCTTCGATCCAGCGCTCTTATATACCAACTCAATAACACTATCACTCTTGTTAACCTTCAACCCCTTCTTCAAACTATCAATAGTCGATACGGTAAGGTGTGGTTCTTGTTTTAAATGACATTAAAATATTAGATGAAAATTCCAGATCCACCGACAACAGCGACCGAGACCTTTATATTACTTTCTTCTTAACAATTTGCATAATTCTAATCTCGAACTACCGGTTATATTTTATTTCTATAGCTATAATACTCTTTATATATCCTGCTCGTTATGATTTAATTTGACTCGATCTTTGTCATTTAGTTTGTAATATAAATATTTTTTAAAGGAAAATCAAAACTTTCTTTCAACAAATTGTATTTATTCTGATATTCGGATTAAAATGAATACGACCAATATATTGTTTTTATTTTCTTCTACGAGAAAAGATATAATTGGATCCTTGAAAGAAGAAGAAGTACGATGAAACTTCGAAACTTTTGATACGCGACTGTCGATACGAGAATTCTCCCGGAGAATTTCTATTCTTAGACTCCTTGGATGGATCTTTAGTCTTTGCCGACAACGAAGACTCGAAGAAGCTACGAAAGAGGATTGCCCTAGGAAGTTTAGGGAAGAAGAGTGCGGTTAAGGGGTAAGGGTGGTTATTGAAAAATTCATAGATCCGAGCCCCTTTGTGCCGATTTCGAAGCGATGAATTCCTTTTCAAAAAGTATTCCGGTCTAGGGTGAACGATATTTTCTGTATATAGATGTGTATAGTAGCGGAGTCATTGAAATATTCTGATATCTTCTCTCTACAAAATTAAATAACTTCTCTTATAAATTGAATAAAGAATCTTTAAATTTGTAGGCTTTATGAAATATATCATTCCATTCTCTCTCTCTATCTCTCTCTTTTAAATTTAAACAAAAATTTTGTTCTCTTTTAATAAAAAAAAACATCTAAAATATAATATAAACTTTGGAAAGAAATTCATTTTTTGAATGTATTCCAATATGTTCCTTCATATGTTCAAATATATATTGTGTTTTCATTTACCATAACATTATACGCAGATAGTTACCAGTTGAATTTTTGTCTCTCTGTCAATTCTTCGATGTAATTCATTTCTCTAACAATTATTACAACATCGTCAAAGGGGTCCGGGACAACAACGTAGCATTCGTTTTGAAGTATGTACTTTTATCGGTATAGGATAATATCGAATTTCGGAATATATATATATCTGATCGTTCGATATGGGGAGTGAGAGCATCGAAGCGCAAATACAACGGTACTGCGATAGACTGAAAATAATTAGTGCGGTGAAACAATTATCGAGTGGGTGCCAACGGTGAACGGATGCCAGCCACGATATCGGCACGATTCGGAAGCAAACGGTTTTCGGGAAAATGCTTCATTCTCTCGTAAATGTAATTGTATGTATGTATGTATGTATGTATATATGTATCTATGTACGCGTACGTATATATATATATGTCTCTGTCCTCTCTGTGCGTATAATAAAGCAACGAATGACAACACGGAAACGGAGAATTAAATAGAAGAATCCGTTTCTCACGTGATCGAATCGTCTATGACGAAAAGTAGAACAATGAATTAATTTAACGTTATTATTCGAATTTTTATTAATTTTAATTATAATATCTATCTCCCCCTCCTTTAATTAGTGTGTAGAATCTTTGAGTTAAGATTACGCAAAAAGAAAAAGATATTTGCCATAAGTTATGACACTCGCTCGTTAAAATGTTAAACGGGTCGACTCATTAAGTACTAGGCAAGGTTCGTTTATCTTTTACGGAAGTGAATCAACGCTATATACGGAAAACCAAAGTTCCGTCGGTTTATATTAACGAGTAGAGATATCCAAAGACTTTAATGATACATTAACTTTAATGATACATTATAATCACAATTAATTTTGAAGATAACGATCGATGGAGAAATTACACGTTTTCAACATGGGACGTTTTAATAAATATCCCCATTGTTGCACAAGTCGATGTTTCACAAGGGATCTCCGTTATCGAATATCTATTCATACATTCTTCGGATATAAGTTGAAAAATATGTTACCCTCGTAAAATTGACAACCTGTTTATTGAGTAGAGACAAATTATATAATAATAATAATAATAATGATAATATATTGTGTTCATTAAAAGTATACATTCTTTACAAAATTACATGTATGATATACACGAAACAGAATATTGTTTGAGATTTAATTATATAAAAAAAAAAAACAAAATTAGGAGAACAAAATTGTTAATATATACTTTTTTTTCTATATAATGAAATATAATATCAATACTTTCAGTTTAACTCATCTTAAAGATAGAAGGAAATTGCGATCTCTTTACCGTTATTATATTGTCCTTGATAAAAGAATAAATAGGTATGGGAAAAGGACTCGTTCGAGCGCGAAAAGGAACGTGTACGGGCTTAGTTGAGATAGCCGTACTTGGCAATGAAACGATTACTGCACCGTTACACCATTAGATTCGTCGTGTAACGTAGCGAAACAATTATGACAACCGTGTACGAGATCTTGTGTGTCGTGTGTATCATTTGCCACGTGCCACGAGGATGTTTCTCGCTTCTTCATGTTTGAATATGTTCCTTCTTTCTATGCGTATATACACATACACATATATATACATATACGATTACACTTACACGCGTATCTATTCGTTTTCATAGCGTAGGCGCTTAACAGCACGATGCAGGTGCACCTTCCAGTCTCATAACTTTTACTTTTTTTTCCTTCTTTTTTATCTTTTCTCCCAACGACTCTGTAAAATTCTGTTCCTAGGGTTGCTTCTTTTTGACTTTTGAAAAAATATTTCATAATGAACGAAAAAAAAAAAAAAAGAAAAATGTAAGGTAGAAGAAAGATACGAAGCAATTGAGAAAAAAAAAAAGGGAAAAATCTTTTGAATATATTATATTAAACGTTTTTAATTTTGATATAATTATATAAATTCGTATATATCAATCTACATATTTATAATATTATTTAATCGTATTTTTAAAATGTAATAAGACGACGAAAGAACTTTTCAAATATAAATGAACTATTCTTTATCATCCGTGAAGAGCATTGACAGCAGGAATTACAGCACCGTGAGCAATGCTATTCGTAGAAATGATTCCACCATCCGGACCAGCGATTACGGTAGTTTCTGCTAGCGGTATCCCAGCAAGAGATGCTGTTGCTGCGTGAGATGCTGCGATTACCGTGCCATGTTCCAATCCGTTGTCTGAAACAATGCATTTGAATGAAATACTTTTTTTTCGAGTATACAAATATTTTTACAAAAATATATTGTTTATTATTTTTACGATTATATATTATTTTTGTTTTCTTTTTATTTTTATTTTTATAATTGAACGTCACACACGCTTTTATTGTTAATTGTTAGATTCCAACGATTCTTACCAACGACTAACGCACTCAAACCTAAAGATGGTTCTGAGACAAGAGTAGGACCAGCAACAGAACCAATTACCGCAGATGGTCCAGCAACCGATCCAGATACTACAGCAGATCCAGAAACTGCACCACTTACGCTAACGGGTCCACTGACTGAACCACTAACAGCTACTGCTCCTTTATGGGGACCAACCACAGCTGTACTTGGTCCTACGATTCCACTCGGTGCAGCATAAACTGCTCCGACGATAATTGTTAATAAGATCTAGACAAAAATTCGATAATTACATTTTGATATATTACAATATTAATCCATCACATTGAGTTAATTATTTTTAAAGATATTATTAATGAAACGATAATATATAAATATATATATGTATATATATATTTCTACCAAAGGTGTCATTTTTCTTTCTCTTTCTTTGAACTTTCAAAGACTAATAATTATCCGATCGACATTAATGCTTTTATACCATTCGTTGACCCTGAATAACAACTCCTTTTAATTTTTTACTTCCATTTAAATGTCACTGCAGTATTATAAATAAATCTCGTCGATCCTGGAGCCAGGCCACTTCTACTTTTGTCCCCATCTGGAAACACAGAGGAGAAACGTTAGCGAAAGCGGAAATTGAGAAAAATACGTGTTACGAGGAAACATCGTTAATACCGATCCCATTTTTCCTTGCTAGCATGACTATCGGTATTGCATTTGAACCTTTGTTCGTCTCTATTCTCAACAGCAATGTCCGAACGGAGAATACTCGGTTGATTGCACTAACGTTGAGGCAATTTCCTTCGATTACTGGCGGCAAACGAATGGATTGAAATCAAAGGTGGACTCCGATCAGTTGTGCCGAAGATAGCAACGGACCTACAAATACAAGGACGACGGTGACACAATGGCCTGCGAAATACAGCATGGAGACGGTCACTCACCTCTAAGATGCCATTGTTCCAGTAAGGAATAGTCTAATTCTAAGATGGACGATTCATTGTATATATTGTGATCATTTGAAATAATAGATTCCATTGAATTCAATAACGTATCTATCTCACAATTCGGATATTATTACATGTCATTTGGGTAAATGTGCAATTATTTTCTAATTGTAAATTAATTACCACCGAATTTGAATATAGAGAATTTTCCTATAAGTCTCTGACGGAATATAATTCATAAATTTTCCATTTTAATTTTACGGAATAATACAATAACGAATATCCTGGATAAATGTTAAAATTCAGTATTTCGTTCTAATTGTTTTCGACTTATTGGATCGTCCGTACCAATAAATCCTCTACTAATTAGTATTTTTGGATTCATGAAATGTAGAAATATTATCATTATGTTTGCTTATATTTTTATTATGTTTGCATAATATATGAACGTTTTGTTATGTACATAAAACATATAAGAGGTTCGAACGATAGGGAGGTATTTGCGGTATAATGACGGAGATCACGTTGCGTTCGATCTTAAATTGGCATAAGTCATATGAGAGATCAGTCGAGAGTCGTTGGTGTTATTGGGTAACCAAGTTGAAACTAATAGTGACCGGCGTATCCGCGAACCACTCCACCGAGACCAGCAGGTCCGGCTGCGATGCTACCGGAGGGTCCAGCGATGAGTGCTGGAGCAGCAACAGGACCGGCAAGGGCAGCAGGTCCGACCGCTGGACCGGCAAGAACCGCACCTGGAAAAAACACGTCGTGCCATTTTAATACGTGTCCCGCCTAGATGTCACAAGGAGAAAGAGTTATTGAACGCGGAAGAATGGATGTTAAAGGTGTCATACTGATCTATCGTCGCTAACTAGATCCGACAAGATCGGTATTCGTTAAGTCACGCCTTTGAAAGAAACTCTTTTCATATTGTGACATATTTACGAAGGTATTGTTAACTCATTGCTGACAAAATGACAAGATAGTAAAGAAAAAAAAGAAAATAAGTATAGCCGGCGTAGCAATGACATGTATATTCCGCAATACGAATTAATCAAAGGACTTACCAGGCCATCCGAGACCAAGAAGGGAAGCTGGAGCTGCAGCAGCTGGCCATCCATAGGCGGCTCCAAGAACTGCAGTACCTGGTGCAACGCTGCCAGAAACTACAGATGGTCCGGCAACGGAACCAGTGACAACGGCACCTCCGTCAACTGCTCCGGATATTCGAGCAGGTCCAACGACTGGTCCCGCAAGGGCTGCTGGACCCAAAGCTGGGCCAGCTAGTGCCGCCGCACCGAGTACTGGCCCAGCAAGGGCTGCACCGGGTGCCCAACCCGAAGGTGCAGCTGATGCAGCCGAAAGGATGGCGATTAAGATGCTTCCTACTACGGTATACATGGTGATTGTTGAGTTCGGTGGGTTGTCGGAAAGGGTTGTTGAATTTGTTGTTGTTCGGTGACTCCTCGTAGCTGTTATTGCTAGCTAAGGCAGATCTGATCTACCTAAACGCTCTCGTCGACGAGCTTTTATAGGAGATCGAGTATTATTGTCTCCGGCCTAACTCGACGATCCGTACTCCCTCTTATTCTTCTAAGCCTAAGGCGGGGCACGGGACACGCCAAACATTCTCTACGGGGCTACCCGCGTGGCCGTTGACACAACGGACACCTTATCAACCTCGAACCACCACCCATCGAGTCTCTCGTTCAAATGCCTCTGACGCCTCACCTCGATTTTACCTCCTACCTAAGCGTGTCTCATACACGTTGTCGCCTTTTTATCTCCTTTTTTTTTTTTGTTTCTCTTTATTTACACTCTCCATTCCATTACATTTTGCTCCCTTTATTCAATACAACGAAACAAACGATAAGCATCCACGTCCGGTTGTTGTTTGTTTATCCATCTTGCAAAATACTCTTTGATTGAACGACCAATCGTAGCACGATCGATTTTCAATATTCGACAGGAACGCAAACAATTTGTCTCAACAGGAAGTAAATGCCAATTACTATTGTTTCGAAATATCGATTAGCATACAAGAACGAGGAGATCGATATAACGCATTATTACATGTAAATCACATCTTTGTGCCCTACGCGAGTATAGAAATTTCCCTTAGGAGATTTATTTATATACGTGTAACATCGTTTACTTTTTTCCTTTCTTATCTTGTCTTTCTTTTTTATCCGATAAAAATCGAAATGTTATTTTTGATTATACCAAGCCCCGGATAAATCACTTTCGAGTTTACGATAGTACCCTTATAATAACGTTAAATTTATTCTCTCGAGATCTATGCGAGTATTAAAACGTAACAAAGAATAATTACGAGCGTACACGTACGACATTGCTGCGATTACGCGAACGTTTTATCGCTAACATTTATCCAGGATTTTGAAGTTAAACGAGCTTTCAAAGTTTCGTCCTGATCTCGACATCGTAATTTTACATCCTCGACAAAGAGGATAACATTTGGAATGATTTTTCTTGTAACAAGTATTACACCTTCGATTTATCTTTCTTATTTTTTTTTTTTCTAAACAAATTTTTTTCTTTTTTTCTCTCGAAGGAAGAGAAAAAAAATTATCAAATGACGAGGATATTAAATGCATTATCCATCTTGGATCCGTTTAGGCGAGGCACGGTGCCCACTCTCAACGTTGATAGTGGAAACAAAAAAAAATATCGTAGATCCATTGTAGTCCAACGTAAATGGCGCAAGTTGTGATGGTGGTGGTGGTGGTGGTGGTGGTATTGTTGGTGGTCTTGGTGACAGATACACGTTGAACGTCCTGTCGCGGAGCCAAGTTCGTAATGGATCACCGAGTGTGTTCTATGGATCGCGTTTGGAATATCATTACTATGTTTCTACTTTCAACAAGGTGATTACGATCAGAAAATTTCTTTCGCACCTTACCTTCATTCTTTTTGTCCTCATCATCCACGTCCTCACCCTCGTTGTCGTCGTTTCCTTCGACTACGAAAGTTCAATCTTAGCGTTACCACCTATTGTTATAGGATTAGATCAACAGATTATATTTAATCGTTTATCTTTAATAATTTAAACTCATAATATATATGTGGGTGTGTATAATTCTTGAATAAGAAAAAATTCAAGAATAACAATGAAGATAAAAACAATAAACAGAACACAATAGTAAAGTTTTAACAATACTTAAAAGGATACTTCGTTAAGATTTTCAGTAATTCCGCGATATTACGGAATTCTACTCCCCGGCTAAAAGAAATATGCGCGTTAGACGTGTTATCACTTTTTCCAAACTTGATATTGGAATCGAGCGAACAAAGTTCTTTACGTTCGACGTAAGTAATCGTTTCACGACTGACTTACCGGCAAACTTTTCAGATTTTACCCATCCAATTCTTTCCAAAGAAAAAGCAAAACTTCTTCTTTTTCTTTTTCTTATAAAAAGCTGCAAAGCTGTGGTCAAAGTTTTGATTCTCGTTGTTCAATTTCAAAATCCGTTTATTTGGCATATCATTTAAATTCTTCTAACAAATGTCTTCGTCATATATATATATTTTATACAAAAAATTGATATAAAATTATAATAGAATGCCAGATAAAATTGTTCACGAAGCAACGAGCAAATTGTTGAGGAAGATGAAGAAAAAAATAAAAATAAAAGAGTAAACGTAGTAGTAGCATAGGTAAGATTCTTGATCGGATCGTGATCTATTCCAATAAAAGATTGTTCGTTGTTGGGTCCACCAGAATCGAGAACGCACTTGCGTCACAACGAGTTTCTATCCTTCAAGAGGGATTTTTCTATTCTTGTTTCTTTTTTTTTTTATTTTCCTATTATGATTCCCTCCTTTTTTCGCCATTGCTATAGGAGAAATAGCGATGCAGGTTAGAAGAACCAGCCCCGCCTTTTCACCCTCCTCTCTTTCGACAAGTTCAGTTCACCGACCCACGTGTGTTACCGTAGTCGGTGATCACCGTTCGTATAAAAGCTCACTTAGCATCAGCTTGCGCGACAATGTCCCGTCGCGATGCTCGATGGAAAGTTGCACTGATGTTGATCGATCAAAAGGGAGAATGAGAGAGAATGAGAGAGAGAGAGAGAGAGTTAGAGATCGGTTGCTCATACAAATCGAACGAACGGATCCTGATGGTAGTAGAAACGGGTGGTCCACAAGATGAAAGCTGAAAAGCCCAGTAGTTGAACAAGCTTTTCCGGACACTCGACTGTTCGACCCTCTTTCGAATTCCTCGTTAAGGGAAAAAAGCTTCGCTTCTTCCGGTGAGTACAATGGGAATATCACGGATACACGTTTTCTAGTTGTGTTGTTTGAATCAGACTGCAACAAGAGGAAGATAAAGAAAAATCTTCTTTCTTTTTTTCCTTCTAGTCCTACCCTTTACCCTTTTTTTTCTTCTTCTTCTTTTTTCATTCCTCTGACTTGTCCTGTATCTCGTAGGAGCGTGCCCCGATGACAATCCGGCTCTTTCTTTCTTTCTTTCTTTTGCGAAAAAAGAAAACAAAACCAAAAAATAAGTAACCCCATCGTTAGTTACCCTTAGCAATTTTTCTTAAGTTCTAGTCGAAATTGAGATAGATCGTATGGTCCTTTGGTATTAATTATACGTTTATTTCAAAATTATTTGTATAACTTATTGTTAAATCAAATTTTCGTTATATTTTTTATTTTCATTTATCAATAATTACTTCATAAAAAAGAAATCAAAGAATTAACTGAAAGAATACACTGTTTGTTTAAAGCTGATGATAATTATCTTATTAAAAAATGTTAACAAACGAACAATAAGCCCGATAAACAAGTTAGTTTAATGAATTTTAATTGAACACATTATTTTTTTATCGAAGGGTTCATCATTATACGAAGAAAATGATGACACGACGAAGATTGTCGATGAATAGACGATGATCTAGGACAACGATAGAAAAACATCGTTATTATCGGCCACGCCTTTCCTTCTACAATGTTTTCACGCTCTATGACAACAGACAGATGGGAAACAATTGCGCTAACTTTCTTCATTTTATGTCTTGAGTCTCGAGGAACGATCATAAGGAATGTCGTCTTGAATAACACACGGTAGCCAAAGCCGAGGATCTATCTGTCTAGCGACACGTTTCTAACTCTGACCTGTGTTACGTGACGTGTCGAGTAATTTATTATAACGTCAAGGTAAATTTATAATATATATCTAATATATATCTATGCGGATGTTTAAAAGGAAACAAAAGAAAGAACAACTTCGATATTTTGTATTACTATCTACCTCATATTTTTCTAAGGATACGTTAACATGCATTTATTTATTTATTAAATGTTAATTTTACAATAATGTGTCATTTATACATCGATGTATGTTTCAAATTAGATTATAAGATATTTTTAATAAATATATTACAATGAAACAAAGAGAAGAAATATTTTACAATGTTATATTAATTCTATGAAATCATTTTATTCCAACGATCATTGTATTACGATAATTACAATGAACATACACAAATGTTCATATTTAATTGTTTTATAAAATATATCAGAAAAAGAAAAAGGAAGAAAACAAATTATCTTTATTATTTATTTGCCTCGAATTAATCGAATAATATAATATAATCATGCTCTAGTACAAATAAATACCGTACTTTTATACGAAATAATTATATATAATTACGTGCAATCAAACACATGATAGATAGAATTCTAACAACAAGATGATAGAAATGTCAAGAATCAAAACGAGTAATGCCTAATAAAAATCGTTTAAAGTTCTCCTCTTCGTTTTCATCGTAAATTCTTCAGAATATTTAAGAGAGAAAAAAAAAACAAATAAGCATTGGAAATGAATTTTCAATTCTCAGTGGTTTATTCTTTTTTTTTTCGGTTTAAGATGGGCATCGTTGATTTTAACACGACTGATACAAATGGGTGACCTTTTGGAATTCGTGGGGGTGCGGTGTTCTATTCTCGCAATACGTCACGAGCAAAGGGGACGACGACAGGATAAAAGAGGAAAAGAAAGGGAAGGAGAGGAGAGAAGGGAGGAGGGAAAGAGGAAAAGGGATTACGGAACGGTAGTCTAAGTCTCGCGCTAATGCACTGAGATGCATTCGCCTTGATGCATCGGAAACGGTGCACGTCGATCGGACTACGATGGGAACGCTGTGGCCTGTGAGTATCTCGATAAAATATTTTAAATATAGTACTGTGCGAAGAATATCTCTTTAGTTATTTTATGTTTTTTTTTTTTTTTCAATATAAGAACATATTAAATCGACCGGAAAGTTGTTTGATACGAAAATGGATAACAAAACGTAACAACTTATGTTAATTTATTTCTATTAAATTTGTTTGACATAAAAATGGGAGGATAAAAAAATTGAAACGTGACGAAAACCAATGGCTGAAGATGAAGATTTATTTTAACATCAATAAATTCTTTTTCTTTATCATTTTTTTTCTTTTGGTTTTAATATGAATTTTTATTAAAAACACGTTTTTCTACCATCGCAGAATATTCTTTTCTTCACTTTCTTTTTCGTTTTCTTTGAGTCTCTTTAGCAGCAAATTTAATTAAATTTAACGCACACGAGTATCGTTCGTTCTTGGGCAAACATCTTGCGTAAAAATTATAACAGATTTAAAGAAAAAAACGGGGGATGCGTCCCTAAAAAGAATTCTCTAATTCCTGGAAATCTCTTAGTTTCCTGGAAATGTTTCTACAGAAAAGGGAGAGAGACATTTATTCTTCTCTTACAAGAGAAACCATCGTTATAAATACGCATATTCAGCTGAAAGCACCGCGAATGCTCCTAGCGTCGTCGTAAAACCGTGCGAAAGATATTTCAAAAGAAAAGATAAAGAGAGACACAACGAAAGAAAAAGAAAAAAAGGCAGACAAGGAAAATGAGAAAGAGATGGAAAAAAAAGATAGAAAGGGAAAAAGTAATAATATCAAGTTAATGAATTACTTGGTTGGCGTCGGAGAAAAGGTTGGATGGGATCCAAAAAGTAAGAGAAAAGTAATAAAAAAAAATTAAAAAAATAAAAAAAATAAAATAAAATAAAAACGCATAAGTAAAGGAACGTAGCTTATCGTTAAAATGTATAGAAAGAAAAAGATAATAATAATAACGATTGGGGTGAAGAGAGGATAGAAAAGAAATCGAGCATTTTAGGGACGAGTATTAAACGCGTTTCATGGGACATCACTCTCGTTACCAATGACCGTGATTATGTAATCCAGCATGAACACTACCGTATCCGGCACCATGGGCAGTGATTTTTCCCGAGGGACCAGCTATGATCACCGAACCGGCATGAGGACCGGCGACTGACGAGCCACCGGAATGGGGTCCTGATACAACTGCACCGTGGGATGCAGGTCCTGCGAGAATTACTCCGTGTCCTGCGTGGCCTGCGGATCCTGCGTATCCACCGTATCCACTGTGTCCTGCGGGTCCTACGTATCCCGCGTAACCAGTATAGCCAGGAGAAGCATAACCTGAGAGTAGTAAATTATTAATGTTGCTTAATTACTGTAAAATGAACACGTTCAATGATTCTAATTAATTCAATCGTTGAAATTTATTTCAATATTATTTCTTAAATCTATCTCTTTGACAATTCGATATAGAATAATTAAATAAAAGTTTAAATTTAAATTGGAAAAAAGTGAATGTGAATTTAATCTTGTGTATTTTAAAAGAAAAAAGAAAGAAAATAGAAAGAGATATGAATAAATAATGAGAAAGAATATATTGAATTATTTAAATATTTTGTATATGAATATTTAGCTCGAATTTAATATATATATAAATCGTAATAAAATGTAGATAAAAGTTAAAACGTAAATTTGAAATATAACATCGAGAAATGATATCAATAAATAATTACCTCCTAGCGAAGGAGAGGAATAATATCCACCATCGTATGGTCCGTTGTAACCTTCGACATATGCAGGTCCGGCAACGGAAGCTGTGACAACGGCTGGACCAGCGACAGCACCAGATACGTGAACCGGTCCAGAAGCTGATCCGGATAATTTCGCTGGTCCAATCGAGGGTCCGGAAAGAACGGATGCTCCAACGTGAGGACCAGCCACACTTGTATGACCTAGTAATGGTCCAGCCAAGGCGACCCCATGTCCAGGATATCCACCATGATAACCGTGTCCGTAACCAGAGTAGATTTCACGACGTTCTCTCGAGGATGGTGCACCGGTGGCAAATGTGATGCACACCACGAGAACGATAACCTGAGATATGAACTTTTGTTTGGGGGGGTAAGTTTCTTCTATCTTTTATTAATAATTTAAAAACAAATTTGTGAATACTTTACTATTGAATATTATCAAATTCGTACAGGTATGTTTATACGTTATATTCTCTTGTGTTAAATATAATAATACGTAAAATATATAAATAATTTGAAAATGAAAAACGATTAGGAGAATTTTCAACAATAATAAAAAAGAAAATATTACAAGTCGCGTTCACGAAATTAATGAATTTTTGGAAAATCGAATAAAACATAGAATACTTACTAGAGCTTTCATCTTGCCGAGTTCTGATCGTCGAGTGTACTCGTGCTTTTCTTCGTCGGAGTTTATATACCACCTGGTGTAGAATCTCGACCGCGCCCCCGTTGATCCCTTCAAATCATATCCGTCGATGGTGGTGACTCGAGCATTGTGCAAGAAACTTGCTGCCATCCGGCACACCCACCCTCGAAGATATGGCCCTCTTGCGCATGACCTTCGGAGTCATCCAAGAATGGTATAACCCGTGAAAATGATGATATTAAACCTTATATCTTCGGATATATATATATATTTATCTACCTACTATTGTCCTTGAATTGATTTATTAATCATTTCGAATAATGTACTAATAATTATTTCATTATCTACGGGTTGGGGGGGGGGGAGGAGGAGGTACAGGATTTACAAACACACTATATCGTGTCTATTAATTTTGTTTTATCATCGGTGAGATTTTAACCGTTTATTTGTGAACGCGGTGACAACTACAGCCGAATAATTATTTGCTTTCGATATAATCAATGTCATATCGTATTACCGTCCAATCCAATTATTCATTTGCGTATCATAATTAATTAATTATTAATTATCGTTAACATAATATGTACAATGGATTAAAGATCATATGTTATTTGAAATGTAAATTATAACAATTGTGACCTATATATGATATATTGTATATATATATATGACATATGTATTCTTGGTTAAACTTATAAAATTTGTAAATCTAGAATACGTATGATGAAATCCACATTCGAGTTCATATTACTTCGTAAAATAACTCTCAAATTTTCTCATACTCTCTTCTCTCTCTCTCTACGATGAGATCAAAGCGACCGCAAAATCAAAGCCCCTTGAGGAGTCTTTAAACGTTACTTTCAAAGGTAGCAGGTTTCCATCGAGATGCTTCAAAGAAATATCAGAGTCGTGAATCTTCTTAATGCTTCAACGGACACAACTATTGGAACTTCTTTTTTTTCCGTTTCTTATTTTTTTTTTTTCATAAAAAAATAATGGTAAATGGTGAGTGCACCATTTAACGTTATATCACGATTTAAATTGTTCAGAAGACTAAAATTTATATGCACTTCGCATTAAAGTCAATGTCGAGTGAAAAGATAGATAAAAAGAGGTTCTCAATAATTAATAGGATTCTCATAGGAAAATAGAATACGACTTCGACCTTTAAATCGCGAAATATCGTGTGATCTATACTGTTCTAATTCCTTCGAAATGTACTTTCATCTATGGCTCCACTGATATTATTCTAACATACATGACAGAAAGATTATTATATATACTTATAGGTATACTTATTCATTCGCGTTTGTCTCAATTAAATATTTCAATTAAAGTGTTTTAAACTAACATCTTAGAGAACGTCTTTTATTCATTGTGATTCACCATGTACATAGATAATATTATACTTTACGATTACCACGATAGTTAAATTAAAAACTAACGAAGAAATAATAATAATTTGTATAAGAAGGGAACAAAATATTTCTAACTATATATATATACAGATAGATATCATTAACGTTTTCGATTTATAACGTGATTTACTATGTATGTATGTATGTATGTATATATGTATATACGTATTCTCATGTTTCAAAAGGAAATGAGATGTGTAATGTCCGTTAGTATTTCTACGATTAAAGTTCATAGAAGACAAAGAAGCTCGTAAGAGGTGAATTGTCGACCTTTAAAATGACGTTTAACAAAGAGAAAGAGAAGAACATATAGAAAGAGAAAATATAAAGTGAGACCGTGGTTCGATCTAGTTCCATTCGATTGGCACAATTCACTCTATCGATGGTGTGGTGGCATCGATTCCCGATTTTATCCGAAGAAACGAGAAATCTCGCTTTGAAATTCGTAGGTTCCCGTTCATCGGAAGAACACCACGATTGAACGTGATCGATGTTAATGGTGAGACTGACATTTGCAGTCATTGTCTGGTGTGCACACCACCACCACCACCACCATCGGACTCGACGCAATCGTTATGGCTTATGGGAGTAACCTCCGATCATACCTCATTGTGGGATCCGTGGTCGAAAGCGTTTGCGATAACGATTACTACGTTATGTTACCACTTTCGTGAAAGTTCGGCAGATGTGGTAATTTCGGAACGATTTGAATTAGAATGAATGTACGTACAGTTTAATCGTATGATTAAACGTTTACGTTTAAAACACGAGATATTATAGATCAGAGAAAACTTCATTAATTTATATAATAGTTTAACGAGGTGGGGGGGGGCGGGGAGGAGATACTAACCGATCACGAGAAATCGTGGAGGTTGTTAATTTGTATAATTGTATTATTTTATTGGAAGAATAAGTGGTATGCTTCTTCGATTTAGTAAGATGATATTTCTTCAATGATAGTTGACCTTGGCCCCAAAATAACTTCTCTCTGTGTCATAATATAACTTGTAAACAAACTCTTCTGAGAATAATCTTCAACTGTAATTACCACCCTCGAGAGTGAAAGGACTACGCCTCTTCGATCGGTCATTATTACTATTGGCCTGCTTGAATTCCAAGTACTTAATGGCAGAAATTACGAAATGTTTTTTTCTTTAATGCTCGCGTTAGAACATTATCTATTTGCCGTTTATCACGCCTTAGCGAATACTTATATAATTGTTTTTTTTTCCCTTATTTTATTGATTTACTATTTACGTTTGCCACAAGTTATCTTTTATTTATTCGAATAAATGACAATTCATTTTTACAATAATATTTTATAAGTTTTAATAATCTTTCTCTCTTCCAGGTCTATAAATTCCTTTTTTAAAAAATCACGCTGTTTATATTATTACACTTTTAAAAGTTACCTAATGGCAGAAAATCTTTTACGAGGATTATGCATTTTTGTAAGATATAACAAAACAAACGATAAAAACTTTTTCCAGCAAAACGCTAAAGCAATATATCGCGGAAGAGAGAAAGAAAGTGAGAGAGAATAAAAGAGAGAGAGAGAGAGATAGAAAACTAAAGCATTATTTATATCTCGAGACATTCGCTTAAACGATTTCACAGGAATTCAGTCATTAATCTCGATTACAAACAAGAAAGATACTGTGTTGCTAAGTACCTAACAACTAACGGAACATAAATGATTGCTGATCTCGTTAAAAATAATTTATTAAATATTAATTAAAAAACTTATTAGTTATTTCCAAATGATATTCTGCAGTGATTCGTTGCAATTCGTTGCGTTGTATGTAATTAATCGACGTATTTCGTTCTATCTTGATTTCTCTTGATTGTTTTCCTGAAACAGAAAAAAAGAAGAAAAATTAATAATTCGGCTATAAAATAAAAAAGAATTAAATTTTTAAAACAAATGTGTGTGTGTGTGTGTAACAGAGAAAATTAAGTTTATCAATTAATCTTTTAGCTGCCGTAGCATGAAATCTATAAACGGTGAAATCTTTTCGCGTTAATGCCAATAGAAAGTGTTGTTGTTTGTTCGGTTCCTGGATGATTCGTTTATTTGATTACACATCCTAGAAAATAAAATTAACTGTAATAGACTAGAACTTTTTCAGAAAAGTAACCAATTTTATTTAACACATAGGAAAAGATAAATACGACAGATTGCGGTTTAAATATCTAAAGTATAATCAGAAATGTAACTGGATGGTACAATAATGTGTATACTGGGTGATTCATTAAAAAATTATCACTTAAAATAGGTATCTTCCTTATCTTTTTATTTAACGAAAAAATGATTAGCACGAAGTGTTGCGTTATTTCAAGATACGCAATTGGTATTTAACAATTTTTTTTTATTCTCTCGATAAGTTTTTCGTTTTTTTTTTTTTTTGTATAAAATCAGGAATTAACGAGATTTTTAAGAATGGTAATAGTTATTGGACCACCCGGTATATATTTATATATATATATACATATCTTGTGAAGCGTTTAATATGGATGAGTATCTCCTGGGAAATAAGGAAGTGAACCGTTAAGCAGAACTTGGAATATTCTGATACAGATATGCCACCGTTTCATATGGCTAACCTTACTGAAAGCCTTCTGCTATTTTACGCGAAAGCTCTAAACTTCAAAATGTTTGTAAACATTATGTGAAACGACTAACGTTATGCATATACATAAGTGTTTCTTAATAAATCTATCTGCATAAATTAATAACGAATAATATATCAGTCGTAACAATTTTGAATTGAAATTAATTCCATTATCGCGTGAAAAAACAATCGGATAACATTTGTTACGATGAATCCAAACCAACTTTGAAAATTGTTTTACGTTCGAATGCAAATTTTTTGAGATTCCACGAATGGTCTTCTGGTTCTCTATGGTAAAATATAAATAGAAAAAGTATCGCTAAAAGCCACTAAACCACTTTGGAAAATATTCAACCAAAAAGAGAGTGTGAGAGAAAGATAGAAGATTAATTTATCGTTTCGTTCGTAGAGTTTGAAAACTACTTCTCGAAAAGGAAATTATATTTCCCGAATAGCGAAATGAAATATTTCGAGAAGCTATCGGAGATAAAATCTCTCACTCACTTTCTTTTTCTTTCTTTCTGGGCACGACACATTTGCAAACGAATCATTGACTGGTAAAGAGAAGATGTACAAAAGTCACCTATTCGAGTTTTTCAAAAGAAAATGTCGATATTACGTAAACGTGAATTTTGCAGGTGACAAATGACGAATTGTCTTTTATAATATATAGAAATTGATCTAATAATATTGAGGAAACACACAAACTATGACTGTTATAAATCATAGAAGAAGCCTTACCTTAGTACAATGATTTAACTTCGATGATTAATCGACGTTTTTCGTGTGCAGGTTGAAAACCGTTGCTTTCCGGTCTATTCTCTTATTTCCAATTCCTATGGTCGAAATTTGGTCTATCGATTAATCGATATCCACCTTTATTGTTTCGTCGGATTGGAGCAGAAGAACGGAGCTAAAAAAACGACGGACGGGTGAGTGAGATTTTTCGATTCTTATGGAGAAAAAAAAAGAAAGCAAAAGCAAAAGCGAAAAAAAAAAGAAACAAATTTAAAACAAGATTACTTTATCAAGTTTAGTTACACCTATACGCCCTTGCACTAGATATGCGCGATAACCGAAATGAATTATTTTCTTTTCCGCTTCTCTTTATTTGCCATCCGAAAAATACACTTTGTTCTCGTATAAAACAAACGAGGTTTTTTGATCCAATCGTATGCGAGTAGTACGAGTGCAATATCGGTATCGATGCAGTGTCTACATAGGAATGGACGATTTAAGATAGGTCAATATTTGTATTACACAAAATAAAAATAACTCAGAATCGATTAATTTGTTAGTATTCGAATCGTAGTTATTGATGATTTTTCATGATTGAGAAATACGTTGATACAATATAGAATGAGGATTATAATCGTTAGATCGCAAGAGTTAATAATTATAAAAAGAAAATAAGAAAATGATAAATAAATTATTAAGGATTAACGAGGTTGTGGTTATTATTACGAGGATGAAAAAGAAAATGTTTTTTAAATACTGATGCTTTATTTTATATAAAGTATTGTATAAATGTATAAACGCTATAAATACGTGGTATCTATCTATGGTGGTGGTGGGGTGCTAGTCGTGATCGCAAAGAAAGGGTATGACGAGGGCGGGCGGGGTCGGGGGCCGGCGGCGGCGCGCCATCTATATACATTCGTTCGCTCACGGGAAGGGCTGACCTACCATAATCTACCGGTCTCTCCTTTTCACTAACATATAAACATAATAATATAATATATGTATAGTGTGTGTATATGTACGAATACACATATGGTAAATGGTGTGTGTGCGCGCGTGTGTGGCAATGTGTTTATATATATATATATATGTATATGTATATATAGTTACGCGAAGAAATGTAGAATAGTAATAGTAGTATGTATACATATTTATATATATATATAAAAATAAAAAAAAAAACAGAGAGAATAGAAACATATAATGCGCATGGACGAGCAATGTAATAATAATATGTATGCTTGGGTGCGGCAGTAAGTATAACAACACACGAGGCGTCGAGCCCCGCTCGAAGGGAGAGAAGAGTAATAAAAAAAAAGTGTATGTATATGTGTGCGCTAAGAGCGGCCTTACGGATGGTGGAATAAGACGTAGAAAGAAGAAAAAGAGTTCGAGCCGGAGCAACGGCGGGGTGTTCAGAAAACAGAACAAACCCAGTTGGTCCGACGACGAAGCGCCAAAGCTTGTCCACTTTCCGAGAGCATGGCCGAGAGCGGTTGCCGGTCGATCGTGCTTGCATGTATAGCTTGCAACAGGCACGCGTCCTTAGATCTTCATCGGATGCAGCCAATTCCTGACCGGCTCGTGGGTGCGCGAGATCTCGAGCCCGGCGACCGCGGTATCGACCGATCGTTTTGGTCGTACAAAGTGACAATTGACTAAAATTTCCAATATTAGGAAAGTGCGTACCGCGAATCACGAGTGGCCGGGCTCACGATGCGTTTCACTATCTCTCATCCTTTATCTCTGATTCTGATATATTATCTTTCTATTGCTCCGTCTCTCTCTCTCTTTCTCTTTTTTTCAACTCTCTATTTAATTATCTTTCTCTCGAGGCCGATACGAGCCGGCCCATCATCCATCGAGGGGGAGGCTAGGACGGATCGGTGAAACAACGGGATAATTCGTTGAAGTGAAAATCCCGTTGCGCCGAGCTCATCCTACCACCTAAGATAGTATAGATGCTATACCACTTTAAGACCGATGCGCGTTCCTACCATGTTCCGAGATTGGACGAAGCTTTGGGAAGAAGACGTTGTGAGCGCGTTTGAGGATCGTCCGGAGACCGGTAAGTGACTGTGGTGGGTTTGCCGCCGTCGCCGAGCCGAGATCGCTGGGGTCTTGAACCGTCTACCAACCGTGGGCAATTGGTGCGGGGATGATAGCTCCGTGGGAGCCGAGTCCGGCGTGGATGGCGCCAGATGGGCCGTTGATCACAGCAACTCCGGCGTCGTGTCCGCCGATGCCACCAGCGATTCCAGGTCCACCTCCGATGACAGCGATGGCACCAGGGCCACCAAGTCCAGCACCAAGTCCAGCACCAAGACCAGCACCACCAAGAGCGGCACCTCCCAAAGCGAGCCCTGATTTGAGAGAAAAGAGGTAGGGAAAAATAGGGGAGCACGGATTAGATGAAATTCTTTAGGTAATTGTAGACGCGATTGTCGTAAGGAAGCTCGATATTTACCAGCGAGTCCAGCACCACCACCTGGAGCGGCAGCGGCGGCAGAGCCAGAGCTTCCATCGTCACCGTTGATTCCACCAGCACCAGCGTAGAAGGCAACTCCACCGTAGCTGGGTCCTACAAGGCTAGCGGTAGCCTGGGATGGTCCAACAAGGGTGGCGGTTCCCTGAGATGGTCCTACGAGGGTGGATGGTCCAGCAGCAGGTCCTACCAAGCTAGATGGTCCGGTACGGGGTCCTCCTACGGATTTGGCACCTTCTTGGGGTCCAGCAAGATCGGATGGGCCAGTCTGGGGTCCTACGTTAGCCTTGGGTCCTTCAGCAGGTCCGATGTCGGCCCTTCCTCCTGCTACTCCTCCGGAAACGATTTGTTGAACTCCTGCAGCTCCAGCAGCCGCCGCGGCACCAGCAGCGTAGCTAGCACCAAGACCACCGGATCCCAAGCTGGAGGCACCACCCTGGAGGGAGGCAGCGGTTCCAGCACCAGCTGCGAGTCCACCGCTAAGTCCGGCACCTCTGCCGAGACCTGCTCCATGACCGGTGATGGCCAAACCAGCACCTCCTCCGTATCCGCCGTATCCACCGTAACCACCGTAGCCACCATGTGCGATTCCGGCACGGGCCGTCGCTACTGCTAGACAGGCGAACACGATCTGCAAAAAATCAAACCGGTTATTAACTTCGACCGCAAACCAATCGGTCATCGCCACACTCCTCGTGCTTCCGATACACTTACGCCAACCGATTTCCCTCCTACCTATATCAAATGACGTTGCAACTCCGAGTTATATCAGTTTACGGAAGCGCTCTACTACCGACTATTACCAACGCGAATCTCTATTTTCATTGGCTCGTAGGCGATTACGAGACGACTACCGTCCGCGCGCCAGTTTAGCTTTCACTCGGAATCACGATTGCTCCGTTCCCGGAATCCGTATGAATATATCCGTATGAATATATCCGTTCGAAATAACTGTTTCTCTTCGTTACTTTAACTTTGCGACAAATCTTTTCCAAATTAAATCCGATTCGTTGTTCCGCTCATGATACTTGTGTCCTCAAATGATTATGATATTATAGAAAAATATCTTTGCGAAATGTTTTGTGTTCGCGGTTAATCCTCGTAACTTTGTGCCGTAACGTTTCGTAATTGGAATGATAGCGCGCGCCAATCGTATTTTCCCATAGTTAAGGAGACACTCCTCCGAAGGCAGCCAACTTCTCTCTCGTTTTGACTTGGTTACCACGCCTAACGCGACAAAACCATATTAGGGGAAGAAATTCTTGACCAACCGTTTCGTTCGCTAATAGGCACTTTCGTATACTCGTAGAAAAAGAAGTCGACTTGAATTTTATGCAATCGTACGAAACTAAACTTGGACGCAATCGAACGCACGATCTAATCCAGCCGCGAGATTGCACGAGATTCGATAAATTAACTCGTACCGAGCTAAGAGCTTTAAATAAAAATCCTCTTTACCGTATTTTCGAGCCAATTTTTCTTTATCTTTATCATCTTATCTCAGTAAGTTAGAAAGGGAGTGCGTTAGTTAGATCGAATGATGATGAACTCGCGTATCACGCCCGAGTTAAGACATTGCACTTAAATGGCACCGCTTCGCGACCTGGAATTATGCATATCTAAAAACGACTTCTAGAAACTTTCACATCCCGTTAACGCGGAACGAAGGTTCGCGAGCCGTGAGCTGTGAGCCGTGCGACGAGTCTGACCGAACGTTCCCGCGACCCTCCCGACTCTAAAGATCGCATTTCGTAATCTCTAATGTCTAGAAATCTCGCGAAAAGCACGATCTATTGTAAATCATCCCGTAACTCTTCTATAAGTTATATACTTGGGATATTCGTTTATGAAGAATCGGCAAAGGATTCACCAAGGACGGTAACAACCGGTCCGCCGATAAGATTCCTTTTCAATGACGACGAGCACGATGATACCAACAACCGGTTTTACTTTAACTTGCAATAGACGAAGACCAGATTGCATACTTTATGAATGAAAGTCGTAACAGTTGTATGGTGCCGATCCGTCTGAGTCTACTTTAGAGTTTCGCGGACGACAAACAAAGAGAAATGGGTAAAACGAACCCTGACATTGAATCGTCGTCGTTCAACAAGATGCGCGATTCATTTTTAACGCGGCTCCCGAGGGGTTTAATGCGTTAAAGATTAATGCGTGTTGACAAGGAAAATCAAATGGACAATCGAACATTTGTTTAACTCGGAATTGCAATGATCGAAACAAATTCTATGTAAGACGAAATGAATCGAAAAGAGTTATAACGAAAAAAAGTATGAAAAAGAATGTAATTTTTTTGTTTTGAAGAAACTAAATGATTTAACATAAAAGGGGGTTAAAGAAATGAAAATAATAAAGCGAGTTTAAAAAGACCGATTCGTGGCACGAGAATACTATACGATTACTTTTTCGGAATATGAGAAAGCGATACACCCCGGCGAAATAAATCACCCCGTATCGAAGAAGCTCGTAATTGAGCACGTAATATAGATCGTAATATAGCCCGTAATTCAGCCCCGTAATTTAGCCCGTATCGGAATCCGTAGATACTCACAAAGGCCTTCATGTTTGGTGTGTGTATGGTGAGCTGGTAGACCGGTGAATGACTGACTTGGGCCGGGCCGGCAGGCCTTATATACGCCTAACTCTACTCTGTCCACGCTCCACAATCACCATCCTTTCGAAAGCAAGCAAGGCGCTCCACCACCCTCCCCCCAGAAAAACTATAATCCTTGCGTATACCAGTGACGGCTAAGTGGCTCCGTAGTGGCCGGGAGCCGTGGGGGTGGCGAGGGGGCTGCAGGGGGGAGGCCATTACTAGTCGTCGTCGTCGATATTCGCTTTTGCTCGCCTATACTCGCGGCAACAACTTGCAACTCGAATAGGATTCCGCTCCGCTCCCCCAATCCCGGAGACACGAACACCACCGAGTGCAACCTGGCACCACCCGGTCGTGACAACCCAAAAGAGGTTTGCCTATCTACTAGGGCTCTTTCTCCTTGACCCTTCGAATAATCATTCTTCGTTATTCTCTTTTCTCATCGCATGATTCGCCACACGTTCATCCAAGAAATCTTTACTTCCCTTTTCTTTACGAATGTGATTCCCTTACCTTTTTACCGTGACGTATTCTGAAATAAGCGTATCTCCCATTCGTGTTTAAACGTATGCCTCCTCGAATAATTGACGTAATTATTTCTTTCTTTCGTACATAGAAATCCAACCGAGAAGAGTCGAAAGCAAAGATTAAGAATAAAAATGTAATAAACGTTCGTCTCTTCCTTTTCACGATCGCTATCTATTTTTTTTTAACTCGAACGAATAGTTACGAGGTCACGGTATGTTTAATATATAATTGAATTTAATAAAACGTTCATTTCTTTCTAATCGTTTAATATGGGCTTTTGCTTAGATAGATACGAACAATGATAAAGTTTCATAAAAAAGGGAAAAATTAAAAGATACTCGAAAAAGTTGACTTCGTTCATTCGAAAAAGTTTTATTCCAGGGCATACTTCTTAGATCCTGGAAGATCGTCTAAACTACCGAATCGAAGTTTTCATTTAGTTAGTCTAGTCGTTAAGGGAAAAACTTTGTCGTTTAGAGTTGACAAAAAGAAAGAGAGAAAGGTAAGAGAGAAAGGGATCCGAAAATGGCGACGCGCAGTCCTGATTATGGCCCGCTCGTTACGTGGAAACGAGGCACCTTGCATCGAAAAGGAGTTTCGCGTTTGGAGCAACGCGAAACGTTCTAAAGAGTTGGAATTACGGGTCGTTGAATGAGCTTAAGAGACCTGAATTCTTTTCTCAATAGATTGGCTGCTACTGCTTTACCTCGTTCGTTACTTATTACCTCAACCCTACTAATTTCAACTATCGAATAACCGTCTCTGAGCAACGGGAGTTGAAACGTTTCAAAACCAAGGGATACGAAGAAGAGATGGAGGATCTTTCTTGCTAACCCTTTCTCAAGTCCTTCCTCTTCGATCCGAGGTTTCTCACGAAGACTAATACAATCCAAGAGAATCTACTTTGTAATTTGAAATAGAAAACTATTTTGAAATGATAGGAGCTTTAAATTAAATCTACGGATTATTGTCAATTTCTACGGTGTGTTTGAAGAAAGATAAAGATGTGAGGTGGTTAAAAAAAAGAAGAGATCATTATTATTATTAATATTAGAAGATTAAAAAGAGAAACAAATGTGTTAGTTTGTTACATCGTGCTTATATTAATTTAACTACTTTTCATTTTATTTCATGTTCTATCACGAACGCATAATTTTCCTACTTTGCAAAGTGAAAGCCATTATATTATTTAAAGTCTACGAAAAATGTTCCCCGATCGCGAAAGTCGCCCGCACAAATCTTTTCTAGCTAGCTAGCTAGCTGGGGCACGGCAGCCCTGACCGGTTTGGAATATATAAAGCGGGTACGCTGTTCAAGTCGATTCTTTTGCGTTCTCGTTCACCCTTCGTGCACCGCCATCGTTTCTCGATCGTTTCTCGATCATTGCTCGATCGGTGCGAAAGTGATCGCACGCGCCGGTCGTGTTACATCGATCTATCGATCGATTGATCGATTCTCGTTGTTATTGTTGTTGTCGTCGTCGTCGTCGTCATCATCGTTATCGTTATTGTATTCGTCGGTTTGTTTGCGCGAAAAGAAAAAAAAAACAGATGGATTTAATTTTGTCCTAATAATTTTCTAGTGATGTTATTTTATCGATATATATATTTATCTATTTTATTAGAATTAATTATTATTCCTCTTTATTATCTAACATGCGCGTGCGTGTTAGTAGCGCGTTTTCGAAGAAATTAATTTGATCCCGTTTTATTGTCAGCTTTGTATAATTTCATTCGATATTATCGCATGCGAATTTCTATTTCATATATATTACATTATCAAAGAAAAGAGAATTTTCCATATTGGCAAACGAACACGACGAATAAAAATGAAAGTCGATTTCCACGGTATTTCCGAATAAGAGAACGTTTATCGCGAATTAATCGATCTTCCCTATCCACATGCTTCGGGCCATCGGTATTCACGCATCCGCTTCTGATAAGTCCACTTTCTAGACCACTTACATAGTTGTTAGATCCGTGAACCGAATTCAAATACAGGTGTCGAGAGCTCTATAGTGTCATTTAACGGTAACGATCCTTGACGTTTCGTAGATTGTTAAAAATTCTTTTTCCTTTTTTCTTTTTTTTTGTCCTCCTACCGAACGAACTAATTCATTACTTTTTCTGCTACTTAACGAACGTGCGATAATTAACGGATTGAAAGTGAACGATAGGTGCTATGGATTACTTTATTCGTTAAATTATTTCGTATCTTCGATAAATGTTGAAGAAAAAGGAAAAGGAAAAGAAATGTTTTGATTTATTTCAAAGAAAAAAAGAACAAAGTGTTTGGACGATAATTGAGAGAATTTCTCAATAGATTTATTTCAAATAAAAGTTAAACGCGCTTAATAGAAAAAAACAAAAGTCAAATAGTTTGAGTCAAAAGGATTCGTTCGAAAGGATCTATTTAAAGTTCGTACAAGTCGACATTGCATGGTGGTGTATGTACCTGCTTCAGGGACAAAGTAACTTATAGTATAGCAACATTGACAATAAAGTTCTTATGCATCGAGAGTGTACCAATCGGAGCGTATCCCTTTCTCCATGGGAGTACTACAGTGACGAATCTTAACCGATTCAGCCCTGACTTCGATCTATCGAAATATCTTTCGTAATATTAATTAATTTACAATAAGTATATATATATATAACCAAAAAATAAAATGAATAAATAATACGAGATACTAGAGAAGAAAAAAGAAAACGAGAAATATATTTTCTTTGTTATAAAAATATTACAACGTGTAAATTCTTTTACAAATATATCGATAGATCGAAAATAATACCTAAAGGTTAAATATATATGTATGTAAAAATTTAAAGGAAAATTAAAATACTATTTCTATAATGCATTCTACGTTTGCGCGTGTTTCGTTCCGTGCGAACGGAAGAAAAGGCAAATGGTTGCGCAACGATGCGCGGTTAAACGAATCGAGGCGCGCAAGCGTGCATGCGTTCTCTAACTTGCTCTTTCTCTCATAGTACATACATGCATACAGATATATATATATATATATATATGTAGTACATGCATACGTAGCAGAATAGGTACACCAACTAGAGAGAAACGGCAAGTTGTTTGTACGATGCAGTGCCAAAGGCGCAAATATATTCCTACCAACAAAATTCTCCCTTCTAGATCAAACTATTCTATTTTATCGTTCAATCGTTATCTAGTTAAAAAATAATTGCAATATATCCAAGAACGCAAGGTCGCGAATGAGAATTGGTCAAGGTACTATTAGAACATTCTAATAAAATATTTCAAAGGAAGCTAATCAACCAAAAAAAAGAAAAAAAGAAAAAAAAGCATTTATTTATATAAATTATGTTAAATGTTAAATTTCTCTTCTTTTTTCTTTTTTTTCTTTTTTAAGTATATATACTATACAATAATTAAGAAAAGTATTTCATCAGAAATATTTGTAACGCATATATACACAGATAGAAATTATAATACATTTTTCGTAAATATATAGTATATACTACACAATAATTAGATCGATTTCATCAGAAATATATATTATATTTTATGCAACGAAAGGATGTGAAAACGGGAGAGAAATTATATACTATAAATTATAAAAGAGAACGAGAAGTAAAGTAAAGTAATAGCGAGTAAGGTAGGAGTGGTAGTGATATTCATGGGAAAACTCGATTATTCGTTTACACCAGTGCATAAACTAGTCTTGTTTCATGACTACGTGCTCCTCCTTCGGTGTTCGAGATTATTCGTTTAGATTATTCGATTTCGACTTTGACGTTTTCTTTTAACTATGCATCGATATTGTAACGAGGTACAATTTCAAAATCGAGATCATCTCGATAGATGAGAAAACAAAATCAAGTTGATTGTGTGAAGAAATGAAAAGGAAGAAAAGAGAGAGAGAGAGAGAGAGAGAGAGAGAGAGAGAGAGAGAGAGAGAGACATACACACACACATACAAACAAAATGCGTCTAGTTCACGTCTCTTAACTCAAACGGGAATATGAAAGAGTCAGTCAGTAGGTTGCCCGGTTAGCTGGTTTCTAAGTTGTCTGCTAGTCTTACCAGCTGCTATCCTTGTCTTTCTTTCTTTCTATCTATCTTTCTCTATAAAGAATTTCTCTTTCTTACACCGTGAAAATAGACGAGCGTGAGTGCATCCATCAGAATGCAAATTGCATCGAGAATGGTCGTCTCTTATTAGAATTAATAGAAATTTTTCAACTTTACCAATGTTGTTAGATTCGAATCATCTCTTTTTGCGAATAATATTATTTATTGTACGTCTAACTCAAATATTATTTACTTAATTAATATTTAACTCGCTTATATTTTTTAAACAACCATACAATTTACTTGTCGTTAGATCGTAACTAATTTGATAGAAAAATTATTTAACGACACGAATGATTGTTACAATGATGAAATGATATTTTATTTGATTCAATTATAATATACTTCTTATAAGTTTTAAAGTGCGCTTATCCAAATATATTTA